CCTTCTAATCCGAGTGACATATACTATTTTTTCTTCAAGCATTTAAATAAAAGTATGGATAAAAAAAATTAAAATTAAAAATCTGAAATTAATAGAATATCTGTAAAACTAAATAACAGTTTAAAAAAATGTACCTACTTGGTTGCTAAATATCTCTTGTTTGGTGCATTCTTAAGAAAGTTATCAAACTCCTGTTTAGAAAAAACTTTTGACTTCTTCGGTTTGTAATTATCACCTTTTCGTTTTAAGAAGGCAATTAATTTTGAATAGTTTTCAATTTTTACATTATGTTCAATATTTAGTTCTGATTTTAGCATTGAATACTGCGACCACATTGTTAAACTTTTGAATTTTTCAGACAAATTAGTAAAATATGCGATCAGAACATTTTCTGAATAAAAATGTACGTGATTTTCTTCACTCCATTTCACAAATTTTGTGTAAGCATAATCGTAAACTTTCTTCGATTTCGTAGGTATTAAGGTTTCTATCGAAGATTTCGCTATTTCTAGCAATTCGGGAGGTGTTGATTGCATTTCTTCTGACATTTTCTTTTTACTTGAAAAACAGGTATAACGAACGGGTTAACACTATTTTTTTTATATTCTAAATCATACACTGACAAACGTCAAATTAAATAAATATTCAAATGACAGTTTCAGCCTACTTGATTGCAACGTTCACAATAAGCCATTTAACATTAGGTTTGTGCTTTTTTATACTAGTACAAAAATGAAAAATATTTGTACTAGTATAAAAATAGGCTACTTCTACAACACGTGTACCTTGATATAATGTAAACATTATTATACGCTTGAAGAAAAAAACATTTACGCGCCATTCTGTATTAAATATATTAGAATTTGCTGCTTTTTGTTGCTAGTAGTTTTTAAATTGAATGATTTCCCACCTTTTTTCTTAAACGTCTCTGTAGAGTGCTGCCTTATCGTTGCACAAATTTAAAGCATTCAATATCGTGAAGACATAAGATCACGAAATATTTATTCCCAGTGGCACGCATATAAATAAAAGTTTATATTGGAAATTCCTCAAAATATTTTTACATTCGCCTAGCATAATTTGGCAACGTTGCGTCAACTAAGCAGAGTGTTTCTAGCGCTATAGGAAAGAAGTGGCAAATGAGGTTATAGGAGCTGCAAGGTGAATTTTAGTGAGCAAAATAAATTAAGCCACTCAACCGTATTTGTTGTTAAATTAAAAAAATGAGTCATTAAGAAAAAAATCGAACACAGACTGTAGATGGTGTAACAGTTTAACACCGATCATCGTTTTGATGTTTGTATTGATGTCGCAGGAACTAGAAAAATAATTGAATTATGTTAAGAATTCAATAGTAAGTTGTTACCAAGGACAGTTATCGTCTGCCTCTAATCGAAAGTTAACTATTTTCTACTCTAGGTGAAGTCTGGCTATTGGCAGATAGAAAGGAGCCCCGTAAACAAAAAACAGACAGCCTTAATCACTGGATTGTAACAATTCAATGTCATGCCGTTCGGACTATAATGGACATTTTTAATGCGGAAAAATTATACAACCCTTAAGAGGCTGATGCAGTTGACAAATTGGGAGGATTAAATCGCTAGATGGATTGAAAGACTTCAAGAATACTACTTTAAGGTCGAATATCGAGCCGGAATAAGCCACATATGTGCCAATTTTCTTTTTAGAAGACCGTGCTCATCAGAGCAGAATCCAAAGAAAATGCACTACTAAGAACAGCTATAGTCAACGATTAGTGGACCCCTACCACAATTAGGAAGGAACAAAAGAACCCCGTTTTAGAAAAGATGCGATACTGGGAAGAGAAAAATCATTAACCTACTTAGCAAGAAATATCAAATCTCTTCATTAGTCACGCATATTTGGCTCAGTGGGATTTTTTATCACGGATGAAGGTTTATTAATAAAAAAATTATGATGGTTCTAAAAATAGAAGACAGTTGGTCATTACAAAGACTACAGTAACCGAAGTACTTCGTCAATTACGCGACATTCCATCGGTGTTAAGAAAACCCTTCAACAAAGTTCGTGAAAGGTTTTATTCTGATGATCTCCAAAGACTGGTGTAAGAAATGTACTGAGTTATGGATGTAAGCAATAATAATAAGTTATAAATATATCTAGAAATTAGCAGCAGAGGAATTTGGTTTCACAGTGTAATAATTGGCATTATTATTTTTAAAATACAAAGAATTTAACAAAAATCCCAAAAATATCTAATATTTTTAATACCTATTAAATTAACACAACATATTTATTAAAACCAAACAATTAGGAATAGTTCATTGCACTAGTAAATTTAAGGACAAATCGTGCAAATAATCATTAAAAATAAATAAGTCGTTTCTTGTAAAATAATCACGTTAAGGTTGATATAAATAGAGAGTCAATCGTTGACACGGGGACTCAAGGGGCGGCCGTTGGGCCAAACCTATGCCCAAAAATGTAACTTAGTAATTATTAGTATTTATTATATATAGTAAAGAGTGTGTGTAGTGTTTTAGTTTCAAAGGTAATATCTATGTTATTTTAACATGTTTAAATCTCTTGTTTGGGTTATGTATTTTAAAACAGTTCATTAGTCTTTCTTCAAATGCCAATTCTTTCATTTTCGTCCCAAGTTTACTTATTAAATGTTTATCAGTTTTAAGGGTTTTATCATATAAAGAGTTTTTTTTATTATAGTAAAAAGTTTTTGTGATGTAAAATGTTTCATTTTATTAAAGTTTTATCATAGATTATATTCTATTAACATGGTTTATCATAATAAAGATTTTACAATTATGAGTAGTAATTTTTGCTTATCTTATTTCAAAAATAAAGATTGTTTTGATTTATTAAAATTGTTAATATTTTTTTTACTTATATATAAATATACATGTTATTGTTTATTAACCTATTTTATTCTCACCTCTTTCCAAAAACCAGTAAGAAATATTCCGAGCATGTTAAGCCTCGGCGTTCCTACCCTTAAGGACTTGAGAGTCTTAAGTCAGTTGCCAAAACCGCTCGACATATGCTATTAAGGGATGTTTTTTTTTTGTATTTTTATTATTTTCTTTTATTATTTTATTTTGCCACTGGCGAATGGATGTTCCTTCAGGACTCCAGGACCCTAGGGCTGGTGACAAGCGCTGCCTTTATCCCTTAATAGTATAGTAACAGTAGCTAAAGACCTATCAGTAGTTGCAAATGGTCTTTAGACATAACTGGTTGTTACATTTGGTGACGAGCGTTGGTCTTAGGCAAACTGGTTGTTACAACAGAACAGATAACAAGAGCAACTAATAAAGCGAAATAAATAGGGGAATAAAAATCATATGGGCGGTTATGTTCTACGGAGGGCCGATTTGTCAGGATGGTCTAAAATGCAAACATGTAGGAGGAACCATCAAAAATCAAAGGTTCATGTCAATTAAAATAGCACGTTATAATAGCTAATATAGATAAAAGCCGCAAGTGTTATAGCAGGAATCGTACGCATTGAACTATGAGCTGAGAAATGGTTGATAGTATATTAGAGAACACCATAAGAGAAACAAAAATAACATAAATAATGTGAATAAACAATATTGCTACGATATCAAACCTGGGACAATGTCAACAAATAAAAATTACCTATGGCCTGTTTCTGAAATAGTAGATATGTGTTCGATAGACTTAACAATGGGATAACTAGAGAAATTTGGATTCTGAAACGTACAACAAGAGTTAGTCGTTCTATAAGTTATCAAATAAATAAGTATCTAGCTATTTTGATAATATATATTACCTATCTGACACATGCCAGTTAGCAGGTCATAACATTTACCTACCTTCCATTTTCCGATACATAAAAATGACATGATGTTAAAGTCAATTTAGCGAGATTATGTCAAATAGGATGAATAGTTACTATCGAGCGATAGTTATCTATACAGAAGTTCTCAGAAACACTCTATTATTTATTGGAAACAACTTTATTGGATCCATAGTTATTGTTTCAATTACAAAATGTACCGGAAACCGGACTAGACAACTGTTTTCTAGACTAAAAACTGGTTCTAATGAAATATGTATGAGATGGCATAGGTAATATGCTGACACGGGAGTTTTAATTACTGTCTGTATGCAATAAATAAAGAACAAAAAAAAAACATCTTACCAATTATTCTAATGCATAATTTTATGTAAAATTCAGTTTTTTTTTTAGTTTTCACACCCTTCGAACCCACCGACCGTGCTATCCCACTAATCTATCTGTAGCCTGGTGGCACTGCAGCCTGCGGCTCATTGTATCACCATTTGAAGGTCCTACTACTTTCCCATTCACCAATTCACTTTCTCATTCCCTGTCATTCATTCCACGTCGTTAATGGTTAACCGCTAGTCGACTAAATTCCATGGTGGAATGTCCCGGCGATCACGCATCCACGACATGACCGAAGAAATCACTGCTTAACTGTTGCGAGAATGTGGATGCGGGTCGGTGGTGTAACGGTCTGATGCGCTTATATTCATTTATAGGCAAGTTTCTGGTCAAAGACAGACGGGCTTAGGATCCTACGCCAGACCATGTGGATTTTTAATTAAATTGCATGATTCGGTATAGAATTTGATCTGTGCCGTATTAATACAAATTCAATTTCTGTTAAAATCGCCATGCATTACCGTTTTGATGATGATGTGTGAGGTTTTTCGGGTTTTCCTCATCTGTAAGTCAAGTGGCACCATCAATCATCTTTACGACGCCCCTTAGCGCCACGGCAAATAATAATAATAATAGCCGTCCCTTTTCCCGCAGAAACTCAGCTTTTGGGGTTAAAATTCACTCGTAAGGGGGTGAATTAGGGAGAGTATTATTATTATTATTATTATTATTATTACTACTAAGCTCGCGGCTAGCCTCTCCGGCAAGAGCAAAAAATCTTACCAATTATTCTAATGCAGAATTTTACGTTAAATTCAGTTACAATTTGGAATATTTTACTACTGCTTACCTGGATTATTGGCTCTAAATCTAACAACTGTATAACCACCATCAGGTACTGTCACAGTATCTTTCAATGGAGGATTATCCAAATTTCTTCTAATTAGGCCTTTGGCGTCTTTTTCTTTTACTTCTGCGACAGTTGTAGACGTACCTAATCTTTCCATTGCCACTACATAGAAAGAATAACCGTGGAGATGTATAGGATGATTTGCGTCATAACTTAAGCCTTCATCTATGATTACTATTTCAACTACAGCACCAATTGGTACCTAAATCATGTGAAAATGTCAGTCAGTACTAATATTACCAAGTCCTTGATAAAAGTCAGCTATTTTTGTTGAATCTAAATCTCGAGAATATTTTAATATTAATTTGATGAGAAATAATTGTTGGCATTAATAATCTGATTAGAACCCTAGAGCTTTAGCTCCAGGGTTTTAATCAATGTATTATCACATCAACAAAAAAAATTTAGGTCTCGGATCAGACCATGTTTTCTATATGTTTTTAGGGTCGCTGAATTCGAATCTGGGGTCCACGTTAGGGTTTTGACATAACCTCAAAAATCCCAATAATTTAAGCTTTTCAGCACATTTTACCGCATATAAGCCTGTGTCTCAAACTTTAAACTCAATAGCCAACCTGCTAACTCAAAATTCTTATAACCCCATAAACTAATAACCCCATAATATAATACCCATAACCTTAAAAAACGCACACAAAAAAATTTTTTTTGTGTCTGGGAATCAGACCATGTTTTCTATATGTTCTTGAGGTCGCTGAATTTGAATCCGGGGTCTATTTATCCCTATCACGTCAGTGTTTTGCAATAACCTCAACAAACACAATAATTGAGACTTTTCAGCACTTTTTAATACATATAAGCCTGTGAATCTAACTTTAAACACAAATCCTTAACCTTATAACCCCCATAAACTCATAACCCCATAATGTAATAGCCACATAACTTTCAAAAACTATAATTTACAGCCACACAAAAAAGTTTCAATAATTTGATTTTTGAGGTTATGGCAATACCCTGACGTGATAGGGTAAAATGAACCCCGGATTCAAATTTAGCATTTAAAAAACAGGGTTTGATCCCCAGATTGAGCTGTGATTAATGTCAAAATTATGTAAAATCGTAGAATCAATTTGTAAAATGTTCGAGAAATTTAGCAACAACAAAAATATCATAATATTAATCAAGGTCGTGTTATATTTGGGACGACTATTTCACTAGACCAAATATTGACCATTTCACTAAACCAAGTATTGACTATTTCTCTGGAGAAATAGTCGCTAATATTTGGTCTAGGGAGATAGCCAAGGATGCAACCCAAGAGTGAGAATATTCTCAAAAAATTCTCACCTCGCGTTGTATTTGGAAAGAATATTTAACAATATAAATAAAAGTACAATTTAACGTTATAAACAATTTTTTTAATTTTCGTGAGATGCAATCCATAGTTTTTATTTACAATGTTATTTTAATAAACTTCATATTGACGCTTCGCTTAAATCATTGATACCTTCCTCTGGTCATGATTTAAATTAAGTTGAAACACTGCGACATTTTAAAATACAGCTATGTTTTGATTGGCGTGTGTTAAAAAAGGAGGTTGTTATTGGTTGATGTGTTAAATAATGACAATAGCTCAAAATAGCATTAATTTGTTAAATAATAATTCTTGCGAAAATTAGTTTTATTCAATAACAGCAATTAATGATTCATAAATGTTTTTTTTAATGACCAGAAAAAACGTAGTTTAATAAACCTATTTTTTAGCTTTTATTTAACTTGCGATGTCTGTATAATAGTTTGTTTAGGTTAAATCTTGTAACCGAATTTTAAAACAGTTGTAAACTTTTGAAGGTTAAGAGCTGGTACTTGTAGTCCTATGTAATCATGTTTAACTAAATTTAACAGATGATTTCAGTTGACAGCATCAGTTATGTATAATCCATTGATAAGGCAACGTAAGGATACGTCATATGTATTATTTTTGATATACAAAAGTGGGACCGGTAGGCGTGGCTTTTGCACTCACTAAAATGGCGGAAGAGCAGAACCGGATTTACAAGTTTTTATTGTACTACAGTTCATCAAATTTCTAGAGGCTTTCGACGGCTAGACAGAGAAAGCACTACTGACAGGCATCCCGACGGATTTACGCAATGAAAGTACACTCTGCACATCAAGTATTTCACTATTTCATTCAGACGTAAATGTCAGATGTAAATTTCGCTAAAACATTTCTTTTATTTTCGTTTGTGTTTTTTGCTCATTACAGTTTAATAGAACCTAAGTATGGAGTTTAATAGCAAATTAAGAGGCCGCGTGATTAACAGTCAATCTCGCGAAATGATAGCCAATGTTATAGAGTTTATGAGAAGAGAAGGAAACTTTAATTCACCTTCAATACCATTTAAAAATGTAAATGATCGTGTTGCTGCAGCCACAGGAGTATCTAAAAACACTGTCGTCCGCATTTCTGGAGAGAAAAAAAGAATCGATAGCCGTGAGATATCGGAATTTTCATCACCAAGAAAAACCATTAAAAAACCAAAAACAGTTAATGATATAGATGAAGCTGCACAAGAATCAAATTTTATTTTTTTATTATTAGATAGCTATTTTTGTTTCTGAGTTGTGTTCATTTACAGGCTCAATTTTTTTCCGTTTCTCCTTTTTGATTTTATATGGGGTTTCAAGTTGTTTTTGACTTATTTCGACGTAAATCACAACAACACACTTTTTTAATAAAGCAAACAAGTGTTAAGAGGTATATGTACGTGTAAACTACAATTACAAAAAATTGATATGAAACCACCAACAAAAATGTAAAGCTAGCTTCCGTACTAGAACATGGTGTCATTCGTCGAGATAATTTATCGTTTTGTTTAATAGATCAAGAAATGTAAATATTCCCCTGTTATTTTTTATAAAATTATAAGAGAAATTTTTTTCTAAATAGTATAGTTTATTATTTTGTAGAAAAACAAAATTTCGAAAATTTTAGTAATGTTTCAGAAACAACCATTATTAATAATAGGTACCATTTTCCTTAATAAGGTAGAAATAAAATATAAACTATTTCCACGATTTACAAAGGCCTACAAAAAAATTATAGGTATTTTCCGCTATCCTATAAAATTTATATTTTCTGATTCAATTTCAAAAGGTTGAAGGAATTCCAAAACACCTTTTATGGCATAATAATTATTTTCAATTCTACATACTATCTTTAGCTGCTTTTAAAAACGTTCTAAGAAAGTCCAATCAGACCAATTTAATCCCTAAACTATTCCACACTTTTAAAATTTAATTACCTAAAAATATTAAAAACTATTTAAAATAACTTGTTTAGCAGACTGTACAATAGCTATCTTAGTCACACGTAGCGCGTTCTCTGTCTGGGCGTCGAACACCTCTAGAAATTTGATGAACTGTATTTCTGGTTAAATATCATTATTTGAACTATAAAAAAATTAATTTCCTTTTTATTGACATTGACTTAAAAGGTAGTGGAAGGCCGAGGTTATAAAACAAGGGGGTTTAAAAGCTTAAATATGCCCGGTTTTCAGCCGAAAGTTGCTGAATAAAGTAAATGAAAGAAATAAAATATAACTGATTTAATTATCACTCGAGTGGCTATTAAGCGCTGGAGAATATATTATTTGCAAAATTGCAACTAATCAATATGACCATCATATAACTAACTTGGGGCCGATTCCACCATTGGGTTTAACGAAGTTTAAAATGACATTTTTACATAAAATTTAATTTTAATCTTCAATTAATAGTTTAAACTTTAACACAATGGTGGAATTAACCCTAAAGCGTTGAAATCATTCACAGAAAAAATAAATAGAACATTTTTGGTTCACATAAGCGACAAAAGTAAACAGAGTTCGATTTATTGGATCAGTCGTCACACGTTTGCACTAGGGCACATAAATAGCTCAATCTTTAGTTTTTCGTTTTTCTATGAGCCCAATGCTTCTGTCTTTATCGGAAAGTACAAGGTCGCAAATATCAAGTAATCTAACCATGGAGGAAGAATCTTTAATTAACAGCTTTCTCGAAATTAAGAACAAATGTTCATACACTAAAAGCTCGATAATCAGATATGAAACTTAATGCAAGGCTCGCGGAAAATGGCTAATAAGCAATCTCTGTGTAGGTAGATGCACTATTCAGGAAATCAAAATGTGGATTAATCTTACTTGGTCTTGGTACTTTTGTAGATTCAGACTGAAAGGTGTATATCTTCATGCAAGACATTCAGTAAATCAGCGAAGCCACAACCAGCGATGTGCAGGTGCACTTCTAACAAATGTAAAATATGAAGTGATCTTACTTGAGACCTATAGATCCAATGACGATAGTATGGTAGTTGGTTTGAGCTGGGCTTCTCACTATCTGCAGAGATTATGGCTACTTATGTAAAGGCCTACCCTAATAACACACAACATGCACCACAAGCGTGCCGGTCCAATTTAATTGGTCTATGCACAATAATCATGCACGTATAATTGAAAGTCAGACAAAGAATGTGAAAAAGTTGAAGTCTCAATCATAAAGTCACAGATGAAGTTAAAGTTAACAGCAAAAGAGTTGAAATTGTAGGATGGTGATAAAGGGAGGCCAACATCTAGGTAATAAATGTTTATTGAGTTAGGAAAAGTATCCACTGTGCTATTCTTAACCACTAAGGTAAAAACCAGAATATTTTCTAATACACAATTTCTTCGCTAGGCAAAATAAGAAATAAATTTGTGAGAGTACTTCCCAAGTGTTTTTCCAAAAGCTCTAAGGACAAAATTGACGAAAATGGCCCAATCCAAGTTCAAATTCTAAAACTTGAACATTAAAGATAAGTATCTTACTGTAAAACAAGTAAAACCCCGTTGTTGACTAAATGGTTAAATAATTCATTACCTAGGTGGAGGTAGAACAGGGACTAGAGTTTAGCAGAAAAAGCTACTAGAAAAGGCGAACAAAACAGACTGGGGCATATGAACGTCAAGCAAATATTGTAAATGCAAATAATGTGTGCTGTGATTAAATAAAAGTGTACAAGGAATAAAGTTTTAATATTTTCTTATCCATATCTATGAGTGATATTTATTTTTAATACTAGACACACGGTTTTGATTTTATTGCTAGTCTCATTAAAAAAAGACTAATGTTATTTTTTTTTTCGACTTATGGCCAAGATGTATATACCTAATATGCCAGTCTCAAGCTTGTGTTTAAATTCTT